AACTGTTGGCTGTCTTATTTTCATATCAATTGAAATCACCATATTAGTCCATTCAAACTGCTATAACAAAAACACCATAGACTAGACATTTAAAGAATAGAACTGATTCTCATAGCTCTGGAAGCTGGGAAGTCCAAAATCAAGTTAGAATGAGGGTCTTGTGAGATCTTCCTGGTTCATAGGTGGCTGTCTACTTTATTTTTTTATTTTAATTTTTTAATTTGTTCTTTTTAGTTATACATGACAGTAGGAAGTACTTTGGCATACTATACATATATGGAGTATAATTCCACATTCTTCTAGTTATACAAGATGTGGAATTACATGGATCCTGTGTTCATATATGCATACAGGAAATTAATGTCTGATTCATTCTTGTATCTTTCCTATTTCCATTTCCCCTCCCTACCCTTCATTCCTCTTTGTCTTATCCAAAGTACTGCTATTCTTACCTAGCCTCATTCCCTTATTGTGAGTTAGCATTCACATATCAGAGAGAATATTTGGCCTTTGGTTTTTGGGGATTGACTTATTTCACTTAGCATGGTATTCTCCAGTTCCATCATTGACAGGCAAATACCATAATTTCATTCTTCTTTATGGCTGAGTAATATCCCATTGTGAATATGCATCACATATTCTTTATCCATTCATCTGCTGAAGAGCACCTACGCTAATTCTATAGTTTAGCTATTGTGAATTGAGCTGCTATAAACATTGATTATGCTGAGTCACTGTACTATACAGATTTTAAGTCCTTTGGGTATAAACCAAGCAATGGAATAACTGGGTCAAATGGTGATTCTATTCTAAGTTTTCTGAGGAGTCTCCACACTGCTTTCCAGAATGGTTGCATCAATTCATAGTCCCACCAGCAATGTGTAAGTCTTCCTTTTTCCTCACATCCTTGCTAACATTTATTGTTACTTGTATTCTAGATGGCCATCACCTTCTTAACCACATCCTTCCATGGTAGAAAGAGTCAGAATTCTCTGTGGTCTAACTTATTAGGATAATGTTACCTTTTGTGAGCTCTCCATCCTCAAAACCTAATCACATCTCTACCATCCCCTTAGGGGCTAATGTTTCAGCATAAGAATTTGGGAGAGACATAAATATTAAACAATCCCAAAGTACTAATTTGCATTTCTGAAATTCATGTTAAACAGTTGTGCAAAGTGACTTGTTCATAGGTAGCTCTTATTACAGTGTTCTGCTATTACTGAGATAAGTACATGATGGACATATTCATAAAGAAGGTGATATTCTCTAAAAGAGTCCACTAAGAGGAATGGGAAAGTTATATGAGAAAGAGGGAACAATGTGTATAATATGCAGAAACAGACAACGTGCACTTTTTATAGTGAATAGATCATTCCAATTACATCATAAAGCATAGAAGGAAGAGGTGGCCAATCAAGGAGGCCTTGAATGGCAGCCTCACTCAGGTGGTCTCCTTCAACCAGGGGTTGGCAGAATTATGCCTGCCTGCTTCTGTTTGAACCATTAGCTAAGGGTGGTTTTCTATTTTTAAATAACTGAAAAAAAAAAAAATCTAAGGATGAATGTCTTGGGACTATGTGAAAGTCATGGAGAATTTAGGTGTCAGGGTTTATACGTGAAGTATCACTGTCAACCACTGGACTCATTCCTTTGCGTGTGACTGACAGCATATGGCCTGCACGGCCCAATGTGTATAATCCGGCCCTCTACAGAAAATGTTGCAGACCCTAGCCTTAGATATAATCTTATTTTAATACTAAATTTCATCATCTTTGGCGACTACAAGTTCAGAGAATGCAATTTTTTAGTTTGGGTTAACAATATGGCGGACATACTGCTTCTTATCTTCATGTCTCTGACATTGATTTCCTGACAGATGAGAAAGGGACACCCATAGGTCCCACAGTAACTCTGTGTGGCTTCACTGTCTGGACCTTTGGGACTCATGTTTGATTTCCAGGATTATTAATCCTAGTTATTGTTTGCTCTTGTGGACTGCAAAGCAATGAACTTTGGTTGAGTTTCCAAATACATATGTAGTCTCCAACTCCATGTAGTTTGAAGCATTAAAGAGATCTGTTGAGACCTCACCTTTCTTTCCCCTTCCTCTTTCTCCTCAAGTGTCTTTTCTTCTTGATGTTGATGTTGTTTTTGCATAAGCCTGATAATTAAATCTGATAGTTGTAGAATGTATTACTCACATGGAAATCAATAATGATAAATATACACAAATTAAAATTTTATTACTAAAAATATTTTCTTCAATTTGTTTAACAATCCTATCCATCACAGTACTCCCCTTTCTGAAAACTCCATCTCTGTTTTATTCTGATATGCTTTGAAAATACTTTTATGTAGCAATTCCTTTTGTCTGCAATCTTGATTCATAGCCTTTCATATGAATTCTTTTATTGCTCTATTTTCATAATAGCTTTTAGGCAACCAATCATTGTGCAAAACATTGTGTTTCTACATGAGCTTGTGGCATCCAGATGTCTATGCCTCATATTGCTGCCTTTCAGACAGGTTTAAAAAAAAATAGTTGCTATAAAATAATTGCATTCTCTTCTGTAGTAAATTTTAAATTATTCTTTCATAAATGAGACAAACTTTTGCTTAAGTATAGAAAGACTTGTTGTCCTTTTTTAAACTGCTGAAAACCTGAAAGAATGTCTTCAAGGTTGTTCTGCATTTCATATTGATTTAAGAGATGGCAAATGGGATTTTTTAGAGACTTCTTATTATATATATATACACATAATGTTTGAATATGAAATTTTTCTTCAATTAGTCATTTTATAAGGAATAATAAAAGAACAAACTGAGGTTGTTATACAAACTACCAACAAGAATGTTTAGATTTCTCAGTAAATTCTTCCAAGTGAGAATGCTTTACTTTAGCGCTGTGGATGTAGCTCAGTGGTAGCACAAGGCCCTGGGTTCAATCCCTAGTACTAGGAGTGCTTTGCTTTCTCCACAGTAATTTCCAAAATAAATGTAGAATTTATGTATAGGCCCCAGAAAATTTCACTGACCGGGTTCAGTTTATCAAAAGAAGATTTGCCTCAGAATTATCTGATGAATGTTATAATGCATACTTGTGACTCATCCTAGTTCTGGAATAAAACCCTCTTGGAAGGGGCTAGGCATGTTAGGAATAAAAGTCCTCTGGATAGAACCAGGTTCAGACAATAAACAAACAAACAAAGGGTGTTTCATGAAGATCATGGCATTTGCTTTATGACCCTACCATGTGCCCTAGCATTTCTACATGAAACCTCAGATGAGACTTTAAACATTTTTATTTTTGTCTTTGTTTTCATTCTGGAGAAAGTCTATAAATTTTTTTTTTTGGGGGGGGGTTCAAGAATTAAAATACATTTGATTTTGTTTCATCTCCCATCTCCCACTTGACTATTAGGTTCTCTGGGCAAAAGGTATAGTTCAATTTTAATGCTTTTGTGGGCTGAATGCTGCATTCTGTTCTCACCCCCCCCCCGACCCCCTGGCAATTCAACAAGAATTTATTGAGCCTTCTCTGTTCACCAAAGCATATCAGGTGCTTGGGGTAATAGGGATGAACAAAACCAGCCAGGTTGACAATCTAGTGAAAAGAGATAAATACACATTTCAGCCCGTGCTCTCTGGTCTGTATATTGTAAACATTTTGTGTATCGATTTATGTGTTTTCCCCTTATATTAATGAGAGATGAGTCATGGAATCTCTTTATATAATATTTGTGATATCATTTGTATGCCCATGTATAATGTGTATTGATACATAAATGCATCACTATAAGTAAAAGAAGTATATAGTTTATATACTATAGTATCTCTTATATACATAATATAATTTATATATCCCATTTTTATTTCGTTAGGTACATTTTAAAATATATTTTGCTTGAGATCATATGTTTCAGGGCTAAGTTGGAATATGCATGCCCACCTATGTGCCCACACATGGTGGGTAAATTTGGATTACGAATCTCAGCATTGCACATTGGCTCATTTTTTTCAATGATTTCTGTCCAGTGACTATAATTAAATATCATTTAACTGTATTTCTTTCAATTTCTTTATTATTATTAATTATTTTTGTTTTACCTCATCAAATATATTTTGGAACAGTCTTTCAGTGGTGAGATTGAGAATGTCATAAAACGATGCTGTTTTCTGGGTTCTTTGGAGAAAGACAAGGTTATTGTCACGTATTATATATAGAATTATTATTTTAGTCACAGATGATGCTTCACTTACTAGTCCTTGCCGTCCTTTTAAGCTCCTAATGTTCTGTCCCGTTCACCATCTTTAGGAAACATTTTAGCATGCTAATCCTCTTATAAATTTAAATACAGAGTGAAGATTCTGGAATGTAACTGTCAATCATCTAAAAAAAAATAAAACGAGAGTGTTTGTTAATCGAGAAATAATGAAGGTAGACATGACAGGTGATTCCTGGAGAAGAATCAAATCAGCAGTGTTTGCAACCTGGTCAGGCTCACTAAATCCCACCTGCTGCAGAGGCTGCTTACTTGGTCCAGCCTAGCTCAGGATCCTAATATAGTCACCCTGAGTCACTGACCTTATGAACAATGAGAAATTGAAAGGAAAGCTGTTTTTTTCTTCCTTTTTAACACGTACCTTGAGTTGTACCGATGAATTACACGGTCGAAGAACATATTTGTATTGATGTCATATTGGAAAATAGTTTAGAATCTGGTGGGCTATCTTACAAATAACGTTCTGAAGTTGTGAATCTGTCCCTGAGACGCACGGCAGCAGAGTGATTAAGTTAGCTCAAAAGCACTTACCATTGTCTGGGAGCCAGGAGAGCACAAGGACTGATTGGCATTATGACTTATTATTTGTGAATGCTGATGGTGCATATTCATGGCAGAGTCCTTTGGATGCTTATTGACATTCATAAATGAAAAGGCTCTGCTTTGCTGACTCTCTAATTGGTAATTTAATTTCTCTAATACCTTTCTTTACAGGAACTGGATTTTGAAGCCAAAACAAGTTACACACTACGAATAGAAGCTGCAAATAAAGATGCCGACCCCCGGTTTCTAAGCTTGGGGCCATTCAGTGACACAACCACCGTGAAGATAATTGTAGAAGACGTGGATGAGCCTCCCGTGTTTTCTTCGCCCTTGTACCCCATGGAGGTCTCAGAAGCTACCCAAGTTGGCAATATCATTGGCACTGTAGCCGCTCATGACCCAGATTCTTCCAACAGCCCTGTGAGGTAAAAGCTCATGTTCTACCATTTTCCATCAATGTCCCTGTATTCATGACACATGTTCTCATGTTATGATTCTTTTTTCTTCACAGTAAATAAAAACTAAGTATTTAAATGTAGGGATCTGTTCTGATCCTGGTTCAGTTCCATAGCAGCAGAACTGAACCAGGATCAGAACAATCCAATATTTTACCAATTCAAAATGTCACCTGACTACCCAGGGCCATTGTTCAGCAGCAGTATTTTTAGGCACCCATTGTTACCCACAAACCATAGCCAGTGTTTTTACTCAATTATCCTGAACCTCTTTCAAAACAAACTGTGTGTGGCTGTGACAAGCATGTCCTAGTTGTAAGGTGGATATGAAAAGATACAGGGGAAACTATTTAAATTAGGGACTGAGTTTTGAACAAGTCTTTTTCATATTGGTCTATTTGAATATTATTTTATTGTTTATATTTATAAAATAAGATGATACCCTTTCTATGCATAAAGACTATTTTAAATACCCTTCCAATTCTCTTTTATATAGAATAGGCACATGGTTACAATCCAATAATCTCTTCAGGCATTTCAAAATATCTTAACATTCCTTTTTGCCTTTTTTAAGTACGGGTAAATTTACAATCTAAGTCTGTCTGTGTGTTTGTGTGTGTGCATGTATGTGATAAGTGATTATTATTTTGGGGGGTGGTGAATATTATAAATAACACAGGAAAAAGGAGACAGATACTTTGTTAATTACCTTGGGTTTGTAAGACACTTAACTTTTAAATATGAAAATGTAATTTTTCAAGACAAAAACTAAATTTAGATTTCATTGGTATTCAACAATGGTTAGTGCTTTAGAGCTAAATCTGGACATTACTAAAAGTCAGCATGATATATATAATTTATATCATTCTCATCTCCCTTGTGAGATCATTTTATGTATGTCACAGATTAGTTTGCTCCTTTTCTTCTCTTTCCTTCACATTAATAGAGCCAAGTACAGAATGCAGTCAGAGTGTCCCTATCTGTACTGTAAATTGGAGGCAAAGGGATGCCAGTGCTCTTTCATGTGGTGATTTTTAACCACATCTAAGAATGTAGTCTGTCCCTGATACAACTGTGAGTCACAAATGCACCACACAGAGTAATCCCCATAACAGTTCAGCTTTCATTGTCAGCCCATACACCAAGGCATGCTGATTTGGACAAGCTTGAATTTAGGTTCCTTATACCACTCCTTGTCTTGGGATTGCACTTAAGTGTCTGGACCTGTAAACCCTCAACAACAGCAACATTACAGGTACTGGTCAGCTCCAGAGGATTGTGTGACTTCTGCTCAAATTACTTAACATAATGGAGAGAAAGACAGATATGCTTTTTTAAAGTTTTTTGAGAGTCTGATAAAAGAGGCACACTAATGTATGGATTGATTACACTGATATTTCTCATCTTGTTTCTTGATTTTTCTTTACTCACTCACTTGTGTAGGAGCTCCCTGTCGTATCTCTTCCAAGAAATTCTTCTTTTATTATATTTTGTTTGGGAAAAATTCATAGTAATATTGCACATTAAATTGAGGAAAATAAGGAAGAATAGGCCCAACTGTATAGTTACTTATGTTTGAGATGAAGTGAGCTCCAGGACTGTTCTTTGTAGCACAGAAAAAGCCAGACTGTTGGTTTTGGAGGCCAAGATCTTCATGCCTTTTATCAGTGAAAGAGTATCTGATTGGCCCTATCTTTTATCTTGTTTTTATTGAATTTTTTTTAAGTAATAAAAGTGACATGAAATTTCAGGTTAGTACTAGCTTACAGCATTATCTCCCAGATAGAGTGATAGACTTTTTTCTCATATGAATTAGAATTGGGGGTGTAGGGGGGGTTTAGTAGGGGGTTGTATATTTCCTTGTTTTTTTGTGGAATTAATTTCTAAACATATATGTTTAATACCAATATACTTGAAGTACTTGTTTATTTTACCCTACTTCCCATAAGGTCAGCATAGCAGGCATTCATAGCTAATATTTCTTGTTTCGGATTTGTATCTCAAGTATTTCTCCTCCCTTATCCCATTATGAACACTTTAAGAAGCCCATCCCATCATTTTATAGTTTATGAAGATATGCTTAACACTTGTGCAGTCTCTGAAAACTGGTTATCTACACTGGTATTTTTTGAGTGGCCAAGAAATATCATTTAGTTTCCCCAGTTTCTCTATAAGCCAGCAAAAAGGCAAAGTAACTTTGATGTGTGCTTAATCCCGGGTTTTTGAGATAATCAAATAATAAAGAGGAAGTTAATGATGCTTCTAAATTGTGAATCATGACAAACATTAGCAAGTATTATAATTTTACATCACTAGTATTATACTGTGTTTTCATGCCATTTTACTTTAAGGTCAGTAAAGTCGATGAAAGGAGACATATTTCATATGGAACTGTGTTGGGCATTTATATTGAAGATTGTTTGTATTCACATATATTCCAGTATGCAGACAATATTGCATAGTTTGATGGGTGTAATCATGTACAGCACAATCTTCTGAGGTGCAAGAAAAGCTATTTACAGATTGAGATGGAACATGAGTCTTAGCAATTGTGCACTCTGTGCTCCCTACACCTGCAGAATTAGTGTAGTACTTTGACAAATGGAAAGCAATGTTTGTTTTACTGTAATTAATTAAAATTAACCTAATAGTGTTTGAAGTATAAAACAGTCTAGGTTGTTGGATGATTAGTTTTGAAATTATTGGCATTCTTTGTAGAATAACACAGATTCAGCTTATGTCACTTAAGTCTGGAATATGTACTGTTTCATGAGGCAAAAGACTTGAATTGCAGGTAGAAACATATTTACTTGCCTCCATCAAGGCAAAATTGAGATACTCTTCATAAATGATCCCTGCTTGCACAGAATTTAAAAATCTATTTGCTTTACTAGGAATCAGCCAAAAGCTTTATGTGACTCTTCCATCTGCACCTCTTGTTTCTGAGAAAGAACCCTACGCCAGTTATACCATAACCTTGTCACACTTTACCACTGTCACCTTGTCATTTTGACTGTTCGCAAGTACAATAGTCATAGGTGGAAAGATTAAATAAACCTGGAGCCTGCTGTTGGCCAGAACATAACACTACTGAAAAATATGATACCTTCATTTTTATAAATATAGCTTTTTCTCCATTTACATAGCTTTTCTAGACCCCTATTTCATGTACACTTTGCTTTCCCTTTTTCCCAAATGGCAACTAAAACTAAGTCAAATCCAAAGGTGAAAATTATATGAAATTTGAAATTACTTTATTAAAAGCAAAAGTAGATATTTAAGTTGTGACTCTGCACCATGTACTGCCAGGAGAATAAGAAATTTGCTCCATTTGTGCAAAATGTATCAAAAAGCATTCCACTGTCTTTTAAAACTAATTAGAGCAAATTTTTAAAAATTTATATATATATATATATATATATATATATGTATATATATATATATATATATATATATATATATATGTGTGTGTGTATATACATGTGTGTGTGTGTGTGTGTATATATATATCCTATATACTGAAAAAAAAAGTTGATATTTGAGGGCAAGCATGTTTCTGGCTTAGTTTTTAAGTAGTTGTCTACCAGTTCAGGTAAATTTTGGCCCTGAATACTAAAATTAAGCTATACCTATCCAGCTTGCAGACAGATTGTGGTCTGTTTATTCTGATCTTTTTGAATGATAGAAACTTTACTCCTATTTCTCATCTAACATGGTAGGAACTCTAAGAGCAGCCTGGAGACCAGAGGACTCTAGACTCATTCTTTATGTCTACACTGGCCAACTGATCAATGGCTTGGCATATATTCATTAATAACAGCTGTGTAAGTCACTTGGGAAAAGCTGATAGGAAAAAAATAAATAAATTAAACATTCCCTCCAACCTCTACGAACTTACAATCTGGATGAAGTAACAAGATCCCACAAAAGTTGAACAATCTTAGGAGGAAAAAAAATACCAGTGCTATAGCATAGCAAATTGTGAGATGAATCCTGATTACCTGGTTTGTGTTCACTGGACACAAACCTTGGTTTGAAGGAGCAATATCATGAGCAAGGCATTATGGGATGGCAGGGTTTGGACAAGCTTAGAGGAAAGTATGTTTATGTTTTATTTAGCTATATCCTAAGAGCCCAGTGCTCAATTATGAAACCAGCAGAATAATTTCAATAGGCTACAGAGAAAACCCAGAGAACCGATGATAAAAATACCCAAGAATTTGAAATTCATATTACAAATCAAACCAGATGCAAAAAAGGGCAAGTGAAAAGTAACAGTCATCATTTCAGCATTTCTAACAATTTAAATATCCAAAACATAGTTAGGTAATATTTACCAATAGGTGCCTACTGTCTGTCCTCAGATAAAGTCATAAAATTGCACCAGAAAAGACAACATGAAGTACGGATAGTATGAACACATTTGGGGCATTGAATAATTCAGTGTGTATTTTTTAAGTAGCCTGTATGAATGCACATGTTCATTATTCTAAATAATTTATGAATATTTAGCTTTCTATAAGATATACAGAGAGTTAGTAATATATAGAAAATAGGGTTAACAAAAAATAGCTAGTTTAAAAAATAGCAGAAATCAATTCTGTGAAATAATATAAGTTGTGCTCTACTTCAAAATGTTCCTCATTTTAACACAATTACCACTCACTACAAATGTAAAATGAGAGTATATGTTCAGGCATAGTGAAAACAAAAAAAAATGTGCTTTTGTTAGATGAGTGCACTTATTATGCAGAGATAATTTTCAAAATGTGTTAAGTAGGAAATGTTTAATTTATTTGGGCCATTTTTCTTTTTTTTCATTATTTTGTTCAGAATCAAAATAGTGCTCTCAGCAAAGACTTTGGAGTAAACTTTTGGGAAGACTCCACATGAATGAATTTATTGAAAATTGGGTGTTTCCTGATTAGTCCTATAAGGTATTTTCAGTTCTAAAATACCTCTTGAAACAT